TGGTGGGTGGATGGGTGGAGAGGCAGAGATGGCGAGTACATTGCAGGCATGTCGGTATGCAGGTGTACACTATGCGTGGACATGTCTACTTGCTGACACTTTTAGTGGTAGGTTGGTTGATTGATCAAGGACGAAAAAGGTACCGCGCTCGCCTGTCGCGGTTACCGGCGACAAAAGTGTGTGTATGGGCCAAGCACAAGGCTTCCAAATACATGGCAAGACTAGAGTATCCCGCGGCCATGTATCCAGGCCTGTAGAGACGTGTGCAGTACGGGTTAGTCAGTGCTTGCGGCGCTGGTATCAGAGAGATCGCCGAGGTGTATGTATTTTGAGGAGCCCCACCAGGGAGGGACCCTCGAGTCCCTGCTGTTGTCTTTTGAGGCACGGCTATCAGGATCCGTGACAACATCCGATGCACAGCGCTCGAAAAGGAACCACAACAACAAGTGTGGTGTGGCATACACAGCATTTGGGTCGAGGCCAGGGCGGGGCCGTGCCCGTGGTGGGCAGAGGCAGAGGCAGAGGAGGCTCGGAACGACAGCACTCACTCCCTTGGTCTACTCCTACGGTACTCTGCAACCATGAACCAGACAGCCGTCACGACGATGCACGATCTCCCGACGACGATTGCGATGTGCGGCAAGTGGCGACGCAGATTGGCGAGGTGCTGTGTGCCTGCGGCTTTGCGATGCAGGCCGCGGTGTAATCGGACAGGCGCATGTGGCGTGGCGGCGCGAGTGTGAGGTCTGGGCATGAGGTGCCACCATGCCGGCAGCCGGCATGGCTATCTGCCAATCGCAAGCCAGTCAGGCAGCTCAAATCGGTCGCTTGGAGCTCTGAACGCACTTCCTGCTTCCACTGTGGTGGCGGTTGGCTGGTGAGTAGGCGGGCAGCGGGCGCCACCCCAACGACACGCTCGGCCCCATCTCGGCCTTATTCGCCGCCTGCCCTCCTCTCTGCCCTTCAGTCTGCCATTCTGCCACCCGCTCCCCCACCACGCCCCCCCAGCCGCCTGCCCCGATGCACTCGCAGATGCAAGAAGAAAACCTCAGATCTGTCGTGCCGCCCGTAACAATAGATCGATTCCGCTTAATTGGCCTGCACATGGGTCCAGGTACTCATCGGTGAGCGGCTCCCGCTTCCGCTTCCGCAATCCGTCAATCGCGCCTACTGAGCCGTGCCTCTACACCTAGATCTCCGTAGCTCCACGGCCATCTCCCAACCAGAGCGACAAACCGCTCGTCTATCTCTATGGATTGTACTTGGATACATACATAATGCCATCTGGCGCCGGCCTTGCGTGGGATTGCATCGACACATGCATTGACCTAATACGCAATCCACAGGCTCGCAGGCGACGCCTCCAAGAGCACGTGCAGCTCCTCATGATGACCATGAGGCCTGCGACTGCTCCAGCCTAGCCACGCACTCTCAGCCTCCATGTATGTTGTACATCACGAAACCGTCGACTAAGTACACCTGGCGACGCTGGTCCCTGGTCCCTGGTCCCTGGTCCCCGCACCGGGCTCCTGCGATGCCGTTCAAAGACTCGTCCTGTTTGATGATGAAAAGGGGTGTGTGTGTGGCTACGCAATCCCCACCCCCCAACCACGCCCTTGCTTGCCCGCAGCATCCTTCAAGCCTGTTGTTGTCGCCATCCTCTGCATCCCTTGTTCCCGCAACCGCTGCTCCTCTCTCAACGTCTGCCCAAAACACCATGGTTGTCAAGCCTTTTTGCCTCCGCAACCCTGGACGCGCCGCCCGTGGTTGGCCACAAGCCCTTGTGCGGAACATTCGATATCGCCCGGGATCGTGCCCACCCCGAATCCTGCTTGAGATCAGTAATCAGCCTTGTAAATCCCAAAGCCAAGACGCATTGGCCTGTCGCTTGTTCTATCACATCTCTGAACGGTGTGCAATTGCTGGGCAAGGTTTGGACCCTAGGCGACCATGACCCTTCTCCATCTTGCGCGCCTTGACGATCGTGCTCTTCAAAGTTAACATCCTTCAATATTTAGCTGCAGTAGATTAGTAAACTATCGTTTTCGATTCCCTCCGAACTGCAGACAGCCCCCAAATTCATGCATCAAAGCACGTGTTATTTGCTCGCTTCTAAATCCCTCTCTCATCCTACCCACATAGCCACGCCAAATGCAGGCACATCAAAATTACTCGACTCACCAACATAAATGACATCAAACGTTGCACAAAAAAAAGGGGGGGTACATTGTAGGCATACGTCAGTGGTGAAGAATTGTGTATGGTAAAATTCTCCTGCATCTACCCAAACACACATGTGCAGCGTGTATAATACCACTCTAAAATCTTAACAAAAAGCCGCTAATCCATTGCATTACCCATACCCACTGCCAAGCCCACTTTTGCGCTCCTACATGTGACGTACTACACATGCTCTATTCCATCCTACCCGTACGTACGTACCTTATTTCCCCCCCAAAAAAATGCACGCAACGTAACACTCGCCTCACCTTGCAACACGCAACACCTGACACTTCTCAACTACTTGTTTTCCAAAGGATATTCTCCACAATAAGACCGTAAAGACTCCAAACGAAGACACAAGCCATCCCACTTTTCCAATTCAGAATACGAGGTAAGTAATTCAAGCCTCCGTATTCGCGCCGTAACACAAACACGAAAACGAGGCACTTTTTACCCACTTCAACACCACCACCACCCAGCCTCACATGCACACACAAGAATTTTGCCATGTACACATAGACCAACCATATATATATTGCGCCACTATAGTCTCCAAAAGTGGGGATTCGCAAGAAAAAAAGTGGGGGGGGGAAGGGGGACCTCTTTCACTTTCTCATTCTTACCCTACATTTCGGCCTACATTTCGGGCGGGCGGGTATAGGGAAGAGGATGCCGGCCCTTGTCCATTCCTCCTGCCCTTCTCGCCTACCCCTTCCCTCTTGTATACCTTACCGTTTTTTCCCTCCTTCTCCTTCCCCCTTGTAACCGATCCTGCATACAACATACATACATACTGTAACCACTTTATTTTCCCCCCTTCCTTCGCTTTCTCTTTCTTCTTTGCTGTGTAAATGTGGGTATGTGTATATGTGTGGGTGGGTGGATGTGGCTCCACTTCCTTCCTTCCTTCCTTCCTTCCTTGGTCAATAAATAATACCTGTGGTTTCGATCGTGCTCCCCCTTCCCCCCCCCCCCGCCCGCTCGCCCACGCGCAAGCATCTGTCTCCAATCGGAACGATGGTAGGCACACGATGCGTGTATGTGAATCCGGGTCATATGAGAAAAAAAAGGGTATGCGGAAGTATCTGTTTAGACCGCTTTGGATTGCAACTGCAGAACGGGGGGTTTCATGTGGTACATGGGGGGGAAAAGCAGGACAAGGTGAAGGATTCTGCGTCTGCGCTGCGTGGAGCTGCATCGAACGTTCGATTCGGGATGTGGGGGTTCTTTTTTGTCGTTTGTCGTGGGGTTGGGGGTTTGGGGGGGGGGCGGAATTTTGATGAGAGGGGTCCTTGATTGCTGTGAAGGGATTGCGTGGGTGCATCGAGTGGTTTTTTTTCTTAGGTTATTGTTTTTTTCAATGTTCCCTGCGTGGAGTGTTACTTTGAAATGAGGATCCGGGGAATGGGAGGGGTTTGGCGCTGGATTGCGGGTTTGCAATGGGTGCTTTTTGGAGAGTTTGGGGGGAATTGCGGCGTATAGGGCGTTTGAAAGTTGACGGGGAGCGGGCGGATGTATGTATATTGTAAACGGCAAATTTCGAGAATATCGTCGATATGATCAAAGGTGGCTGGCTGGCTCTTGAGGTGAGGTGAGGGGGTTTGGAGTGATGTGCCTCGGGTGATTGAGAGCTGGATATATTGGCTTCGTCTGTATGTAGATGGCTATACGTAATTGAAAGTGTCGCTGTCTTCCTCTGATATTTGGGACTCATCCCTGTAGAATATGCAATATTCTGTCGTCCAAGTAGCTGTTGAGTGATTCGTTATCATTCCAACATATCACCTCACTGCATTTTCTACCATGCATACAGTGCCGCCGTACAAATTGTACTCTACCTTCGCTGATGTCTCTCTGATATTCTGCAATCTTCACAACATTAAGAATTCAAGGCAAGAAAGTATCTCCCTAAATTGAACACATTTGGTTTTCGTTGCGCCAGTCCATACGGTCCAACTAGCTCACTGAAAGTTCACAAACAATATTTTGGAAAACTCCATTCTAGATTTCATATGCAGAATATTTCATCTTTCGATATCTATTTGCTACATAGTACACTGCCACTATTTTATTGGCCAGTCACCAGAATTATCAACAATCAGTCTAATACAATATGGAGGTCGAGATTCTATTAACTTTATAGCTTTCCCAAAAGAGGCCAGCTTGGATTAGATTTAATTTGATTGGTAATTCAGATTGTTTGTTGAAAATTCGTGCCAGTCGCATCGAATTTGCAAAAAAAAAACACTCGTCGCAAATCTCTCAATCTACATGTAATCTAAGGAAAACGGACTTTACAAACTAACGTAGCAATTCCAAACAACGACCTCAACGTTTCAAACAGTCTCCCTCTTACCATATTCTATCACTTGATTGTATTGATCTATTCAGTGTAAAGTGTATTAGATTATTATTATTTTTTCTTGGAAAAGATTGGTAGATCACACCCCAACCTGCCGAAGTCCAGCATTAACAAGAACACTTTGCAGTCAGAACAGTATTCTAGAACATGTTCCGCGACAAAAAAACATGTATGAAAATTCTTCTTAGTGACCCTAGTCGACGATTTGTCGTATCTAATCGCGCCTACAGGTACAATAAAGCAACCGAGATGGATGGAGAACTTGCTTATAAACTAATCTCCTCATAAAAGATGACTTGAAACAAAGAAAATTTGCGGCAAGGGCGGTCGGTAAACTATACTTATTGACTGATGCAGGCCATCTCAAGTGATCAGATACATAGCTGGCTTGGAAATTGGTTTTGCAATAGCTCAATCAAGGAGAAATTTTAAGAAAAGTTTCTTCGGTACCAAAACTTAAAAAACTGCTCTCTACGGTGTCGGAAATCCGTTTGCGGTACAGACAGCTCGTAGAGATGGGAATTGTCGACAAGCGCGGATGATGTGCTAAAGTGGGCAGATAACTGTGCCTTGACCATTTGTGTTGTCGTCGACCAAAGTTAATACAGCCACTGTCTATATCCGTACCGAAAAAAGACAGCGATATCGGATGTGTCCAGTTTATTCCCCATTCAGTAAGTAAATCGATTTCGGACCCACGTACCACGTAAGCTAATCGAGGATACCATTATTATCTATCCGACGGCTATGGGCGTCAAATAAGGTTTCCGGGAAAATAGCACGTGCTGCATGCAAGCAATTCATTTTCCGTCCGTGACAAAATTAAGTTTAGCCACGAGTCCGATGTAAGCTCTTTCTCAAACGGGAAATAATGGTCGGTAGCAAGCGGATGTCGTGCAGTGAGTATTGCGCAAGAGGGTACAAAGCGTAGGTTGGAAAAAATATCAAGGCTAGCAAAGACTACAAAGTCACCCAAAGCACAGACTCATATCAAAAACTCCAAATCAATGTTACAACAATTGCTTGTATAAATCTATGTATCTAATATTCTCTATCCACTCCCACCAAAAAAACAAAAAAACAACGTTACTATAGCTAGTATGCCTCTCTCTCTCTGTCATCAAACACCAAAACACCCCGATTTTTTTCTCTTAAAAACGCCTTCCAAAAGAGACCAGCTCTTGAGGAAAAAAAAAGGCCAACCCCTCTATCAAAGTCATAAGCCATATACACACACACACCCAACTCTTGTACAAACCACATAGTAGACACAAACCACATACACACACTCTAAAGCCCTTCTTGCACCAACTTTTTAGCTATCCACAGCCAAACCAGCATTGCCGCACTCAGGTCCCCACATATCTCCCACCCTGAAGCCGAGGGGAAACGGATCCTCCTCATCCACAACCACCTGCCTGTAACCCGAGATCCAGGCGCGGCCCCTGACGCGGGGTAGGATGGCGTCGTAGCGGCCAACCTTTGTGGTACCCACGATACTGCACTGAAACTTGGTGCCAATGATACTCTTGTGGGTAAAAGTCTCGCCAACGGCCAATTGGCCTCGAGCATGCAGCACCGCCATGCGCGCCGACGTGCCCGTGCCGCAAGGGCTGCGATCGAGGCGACCAGGCGACACGACAACCGTGTTGGTAGCCGTCTTGACTTTGGCGGGTAGCTCATCCGGCGAGGACGATGAAACAAGCTCGACATGGACAGGCTCTGTAAATTGCATCGTCGACACCCCGCGAATCCCATTGTTGAGTGGGTGCACCGGCTCGTAGATGTCTTGCACGCTCTTGCGGATGGCTTCGCCTATGCGAATCAGGTCTGCACCGTGCTGGTGCGAGATGCTCAGGCCGACGGCGTCGGCCGATACAATGGCGTAGTGCATGCCGCCCCAGGCTACGTCGACGGAGATTTCGCCGATGCCAGGCACGCAGACGGGCACATCGAGTTCGTAGACAAAGGCTGGGACGTTGTCGAATTCAACGCTGAGGCACTTGCCGCCGGCGCAGCGGGCGCGGACGCGCACAAGTCCTGCTGCTGTGTCGAGCACAACTTTGGTCTCTGGTTCCTTCATGGCGATACGGCCAGTCTCGAGTAGTACGGTGGTGACGCAGATTGTGTTGCTGCCGCTCATGGTTGCGTATTCGTCGCTCTCGAGGGTGAGGAAGCCTGCGTCGGCTTCTGGGTGGCATGGCGTGAGCAGCAGATTCATACATTGCGAGACGCGCCCTCGTGGCTCTTGCATGAGTAGTTGTCGATAGTGGTCTGCTTTTGACTCAAAGTGCAGCAGCTTTTCGTACATGGTGTTGCAGTGCATTGGGTCTGGTATTCCGCTGATGATAACGTCGCCGATTTCGCCCTCGGCGTGCACGCATACTATCGAAATGGGGAGGTCGGGTGTGGTCAACATTGTGGGCGGTAGAGCGTGTACGTCTGTGTGTGTGTGTGTATATGTGTGTATGTGGCGACTATGTGGAAAATGACGGATATGTCTTTATATAAGTATGTGGTCTTGGTGCATGGTCAGCCTTAAATGTAATTGTGGAAAGTAGAGCGCCAAATGAGGCAATTTAAAAGCGGTCAGGACGCTATAGGCCACGAGACTTAACCGATGATGTGAGATGCTAACGTTTTTCCAGAATGTCGCATTCCGACGATCGTCCAAATCCGGATTCCGAAACTACTCGGTGTGACTTAACCCTATCCCAATCAGTCCCTGCCACATCATTCAAGGGGGAACTACTATGCGGTGTGTCTATACTATAGGAAAGTTGCGCATCGGCCAAGATCAGCAGACGCGTATCTTTCCTCCAATCCCCAAAGGCGGGCCGGAGTAGGGCCATTTCCCACGTTGCTTCAAAAATGGTCCGAGCCGGTTTCATGTCATCGTCCAGTCAAAAGTGTGTTCGAGTCGTGGGCGGTCAATTAGGTGCTAATCTTATTACAATTATTTGGTCTTGACAAGAGAATCTTTGCCGATTCCCCGCCATATTACAAGTCAATCCCGCTACCCCGAGCGAGACTGTTATACCCAAAATTTCCGATGTAACAGCGAGGGCGAAGAATGGTAATGTACAAGCGAAAAAAAATAGCCCACAATGCCTAGCCGATGACGTATCGGCCTGAATCGCGTACCAGACCCTGGCACCCATAATCTCTTTCGTAACGACATTTCTAAATTCTTTGCCAACGTGTCAATTGTCTTCTCTCCATCTTTGCGTCTAGCGAACTTTTTTGGGCTCGTCGGACTTGTACGTGCGGTCGTCGCTGCCACCCTCGACTTCCAGGACCATCTTGTCAACGGCTTCAGCCTGCTTCTTCCACTCGCTCTGGCACATTTTGAGTTCTCTCTGGAAGAGCTCGTCATTGGGCTTCCTGTAGCTTCCACCCAGACGGTCCCAGAGCGTGGTAAACTGTCCGTAGTTGTAATTGAAGTACAGGTGGTGCATGGTGTGGCAGGCAGCTCCATTGATAATGGCCGAGTTGTGCGCATACTCGCCGTCATGAATCAAAACAGTCCAGATGTTGACAGCAACAAACAGGAGGACATAGGCAAACTTGGACAGTGGGAACAGGAACGGGAAGATGTGGTAGGGCAGACCCTGGGCATAGCCGTCCAATGGGTGGAAAGCATGCGAGGCATAGGGGGTAGGCATGATCCACTTGTGGTGTGGCTTGTGGATATGCTTGTAAATGAGAGGGTGGTGGAGATAGCGGTGAATCCAGTAGATGAGCGAGTCGGTGAAGAAGAGGAAAAATGGGAACTGCATGTAGTTGTACCACAATCCTGGTCCCTGGTCGACGGTATCGTATAGCTTCGAGTACCCACGGACCTCTGCAAGGAAAAAGGGCACGGTGAAGATTGCCATGACAGGAAAGGCAATGTTGGCCTGCTTCATCTCAAGCTTAATCTGGTTCTTAAGGTATCGCGGGTGGTTGAAGGTGCTCTTGTCGAAGATGAAGAAGTAGGAGGCGCTTGCGAAGATGTAGTAGACTAGGACACCGAAGAGCCTGTAGAATTTGGAGTGTGAGCAGGGTATGTACATGTTGATAGTAGGGTGGTGCATGGGAAGATATCGTACCATGTAATGAGATACAAGGACAGTGCCTGCCGCTTCCAGTCGTCGCGCGGCCATTGGCTCATGTAGGCATACTTGGATGGCGTTGTGGAGAAGAACTGGGTGGCGGGCTCATACTGCCAAGTCGCGGGCGGGCGGGCATAGGCAGTAGGCTCCTCGCGGATGCTGGACAGGGTGGCATTGGCGATTACAGAGGCTGGATAGGCAGGCAGAAGTTTGGCATATAGGGGGTCGAAGATGAAGGTGTCTGCCACCTCGAGGACAACGTCCATGGCTGATGTGGGTGTGACGTGGGCAGTCCCCTAGTGGGAGGATAGTCAGGTACCGAACAAGTGCGATTCGCCGTTGGATCTAATGGAAGCGGGCTGCGCACGACGAAAACAAGGGTTCAATGTGGTTGAAACAGGCCAGATATCGCGATAATAAGAACGCGAGAAAAAGCAATGGGGAGAGGGAAAAAAGGCAAGTGGGCGCGCAGGATGGCGATTTCCAGACTGCGCGGGCGTAGCAATAATAAACGGGTCGCAGCGACGACTTTTTCGGCTCAAGGCAAAGCGGCCCTGGGCTGCCAGGGTTCCATCTTGACTGCTTGTAAATCACACAACCGCCCACTAGGCCTGCCAATCAGGGCTGCCAGCTGCCTGTTTAGAGTGCCCTCACGTGATCCCGCATCACAATCTCGCAGTGCGGAAATGAAGCATCCGTTGAAGCCGAGAATGGGCTGACCAGGGGCAGCGCGGCATTGCCCTTATCAGATCTTCTCATCCGATGCTCGGAGCATGCTCGGATGCCTGAACCGCCGCCGACACGCCACCATGGCGCTGCCAACTTATAAACAATACGCGTGCCGCCGGCTAGACCGCTGTGGCTGGTGCGCGGTTGCCGTCAGCAGGAACGCATCATGTACACTAAGTACGTAGCAGAGCACGTCTTTCTTTTTATACGTGAACATTCAATTGTCGGAGGATGCATTTCTGTGCTCCAAACATTGGGCCGACGTAATGGACCCGCTAATGCACATCCATCTACTTGGCCACAATGCTCACTACGTCTTCATCAGCCACAACGTGGCCCAAGCCTACCTTTTGTGGCACATGTCGGGCGCTCGCTCCCCACACCAGTGCATGCTTGAACGTCTCCTTGAGCGTCCGGTGCACCTGGTCGCAAACATCCTCAATCGTGCTTCCCTGCCGCACAATCAACGCCTCTGAGAAATCCGGCTCGCATCCCTTTCGCTTGGTGTAGATTCGGATCAGCCTTAGCTCTTCCCAGCACCTGTCCACCACGTCTTGAATGCCCAAATCTAGTTCGCAACTCATGACTACCGTATTTGGCTCCCTTGCTAGTTCGTCCAAGTGCGGCAGGCCAATGCTGTCAATCTTGTTGTACACGTACAAACACTTGATGTACTTGCGGTGGTCCTTCATGATTGTATCGATGAAGTCATCAACAGTGACATTCTCGTCGCGCACTAGCACTTCGCAGTTGAGCATCTTGTAATCCTTGAGAATGTTGTACACCATCTTCTCGTCGATATACTTTGGCGGAACCTGAAAACTAATTTTCATCCCACCAGCCTTTTTGGGCTTGAGGTAAATATTACTGCAATATCGTTAGGTTTCTTCATAGTGCGCGTTCATAACCTAAACTTACGGTGGCGACCGATTCAACCGGATCCCTACCGCCTCCAACTCAGCTTCGAGCAACCGCCTCTGTTCCGCTTTCTTGGTAGCATCAAGAACCATGCAGATCAGGTCGCTCGTCTTGGCTGCACTAATGACCTGCCGCCCACGCCCCTTTCCTTCGGCAGCGCCCTCAATGATACCCGGCAGATCCAGGACCTGGATTTCCGCACCACCATACTCGAGCACACCAGGAATGGCCGTGAGCGTGGTGAAAGCGTAGGACGCAGCTTCAGACTTGGTCTTTGTGATTCTCGAGAGAAACGTCGACTTTCCGACTGACGGAAATCCAACAAGGGCTATACGCGCATCACCTGATTTCGACACATCGAAACCACTTCCGCCGCCACCACCTGCGCCCGCTGCGGGCTCCAGTAGTTGTGCGCGGAGACGAGCGAGCTTTCTATACCAAAACTGTTAATAAGTCACATATTCCATTACAGTTTGCCGGTGCCTTGCCCTTTGAGTAGACCAAGATGATATTCTGTGTGTCCATATCAGCACGTGACACGGAATTCTACGTGGGTGTGAAAACATGCACAGCGAGGGGCAATCACCATACCTGTAGCCTTATTTTCTGTGCACACAAAGTCAGCTTTCAAACTCTGATTTCCGGTAGTGCAGATTGCGAAAAACTCACTCTGCGTCCTCCGCATCTCCTCCTCAATCCTGGCGGGGGAAGCGTTAGCCCAAGGGCCACATCAAAAAACTTGGGAGGGGTCTTGTCCCACTCTTTGATCTTCTCTGTAATGTTCACCATCGTGACGACCTTTCCTCGAGTTGTGCGCTCAGGCTAGAAAGAGAGAAGGACTAGGGTGAGAAGGTAACTATGTCGCTGTACTTTGTGTGGCCGTTGTAGTCCGGCAATGTCACGATGGGAAAGGTTTGGTGTTGCAGCCAGCGCTCTCATGCCCCGAGCCACGGCTTATTTAGGTTTAGCGCAAACCTTTTCTCTCCAGCGACTGCAAGATGCAGTGCGTCATGTACAAAAGGGTGCAACCAGCAAATACAGTGCAGAAGGCTTATTTACCGATAACCAGGCTCATAGTTCGCCACATTTTGTCAAGCTTGTACCAGCTGGACCCTTTGCAGACTGGGAAACAGGAGTCTATATTCGCCACGCTTATTTCGTCAGCATCAGCCGCCTCCACAAAACTGTATTCTTATTTTTTTTCTATTCTCTTTCTAAACACACTTCAGCCTACTGTTTTCGTTTCGTCTACTTCAACGATGCCATTCGGAACCTCCGGTTCATGGCCTGACTCATACCACGATGTGATAAAGTACCACTACGCGCAGTACGACAAGGCCATTGCATCCGGAGACTACCAACCGTTGTTGTATCCATGGGCAGGCATAGACTTGCTACTGGTCACCATATACCTTTTGATTCCGCACCAGAACCGGCCATGGCTGAAGAAATGCCGGTTCCTGGCCTTCGCATGGGTGCTCTTGTGTGCAGCGTTCAAGATTAGATACACGCTGATGAGAGGGTTGGCACCAGCACTGGTCAATGGATTGATTAACTCATGGATGACGATCTGGGTGTTTGCGATACTCGTGTGCAATGATGCACAAACAGATTTCATGAGGATCGAGAGAACCACGGGTGTCTTTGGGTCGAGCAAACGGAGTCTATTCAATGGGTCTTCTGCAACAAAAGAGACGGACGATCACAAGACGGCCCGAGACGATGTCGTCAACAACTCAACTGGTCCAAAGGATCGTCACGGCGAATTCGCGTGGCAACCCTTCCCCCTCAGTCCCATGCTGGAGCGACTAGATTGGGTTAATGACATTCTGTTCAACTTTCGTGGCATGGGCTGGAACTGGCGCATCTCGGCCGTGCCTCCGCCCCCCAAAGCGATTCAGACTCAGCTTCACCACAACTCAGGCGACATTGTGCCCAAGCACTCGTTCAAGACGCACGCCGGCCAAGTGAAGCAGTACGCGACGCGCGGAGAGCTTCTCCGCAGCAACCTCCGCACACTGGCAACGGGCTACCTCGCCCTTGACATCATCAAAACAGCCATGATGCACGACCGTTACTTTTGGGGCTACATCAATCACGACCCGCCATCCTACTTGCCCTCCCTAATCACCAGCTCGCCACACATGACTCACGCATACCGCATGCTGCTCTCAATGCTCGGCATCAAATTTGCCCTGCAATGTGTCTTCGCCCTTGCGCCCCTCTTCTTCAGCGGCGTCCTGTCACCCTCGCTGCTCGGCGCCCGCGCGGAACCATGGATGTACCCGGAGACGTGGGCGCCTTACAGTGTCGTGCTGGACCACGGCATCGCCGGCTGGTGGGGCAACTGGTGGCATCAGACATTCCGCTTTGCGTTTCAAGAGCCCAGCCGTAAGCTGTTTGAAGTGCTGCGGCTGGATAGGAAGAGTAAGGCGGCCAAGATGCTGCAGTTGCTGATTGCGTTCTTCCTAAGTGGCGTCGTGCATGCAAGTGGGAGTGTGACTTGTGTAGGCGACACGCAGCCTCTGCAGGGTCCCATGGCGTTCTTCTTGCTCCAAGCTGTTGCTATCTTTGTAGAGACTTGGCTCACGCAGCTTGCGCGTGCGGCCGGCGTAGGGCGGGGTTTACCTGGGTGGCTGAAGAGAACTTGGACATTTGTCTATGTCCATGTTTGGTTCTACCTTACTGCTCATCTACTGTGCGATGACTTTGCACGAGGCGGCGTATGGCTCTTTGAGCCTGTGCCAATTTCGATTCTCCGCGGCGTGGGTCTGGGTCCTGATAAGCACGATGGATGGTTGTACTGGAGTGGTCAGGTAATTCGCTGGCATGCTGGGGAGACGTGGTGGAAGAGCGGTCTGACTTTGTGAGTTTTGCTTGTCAGGGTGTTCCTGGATAAGACGGAATGAGTAAGTAGTGGAGTCCACTCTTCCATCATCTTCATCTCTCGTGTATGGACAGTACCTTTAGCTAGACGTAATACTTTTGTCAAGTCATTCTCCCATCATGACTCTGTTTCTCTCGAAGTTAACAAGCGTCTAGAGCACAACCCCTTCAAACAACCCAGTTAGTCAGCACAGCATAGCACTATAACCCAAAGAACCCCTCTAGGGACCCAAAAGGATTCAAAAAGGGGCGGTAAGCGTAAAAAGCTGATAAGGCTAAAGTATGTGTACCAAGACGGACAACGGTGATGCCACTAGTCTGAAGCACTAGCCTCAGACGCAAGCCTGAGGCGAAGAACTCGGCGCTTTCCCCCCCCACCACCGAGTCATTCTGTTTCGAATTTTAAAAAAGAAAGAGGGGAAAAAAGAGACGGGAGTGGGTAGTGAATTACGTTTAGTTTGGTGAGTAGTGAGCGACATGTTACACTGAGAAAAAACAAGTTTTACATGTGAAGATATTTGGAATAGAAATACGATCATCGGAATTAGTAGGATGTAGGCAGGAAGGCATGAGGGCAAGTAGCTGACAAAGCAAACACGACCAACAATATAGTCATGCGGCGCATTGTATATATGCAAGCCATGCCTCCTTAATTAAAAGGGCATGTAGAATGATTTCTGGCCCGGATACATGACTTGGAATGCATGCGGATGACAAGGAGACGTATGCCATAGAGTCTATTACATGAAGCCATGTAAACACACAGGGTAAACAGATAAGAAAGGGGTAAGAAAAAAAAGAGACATGCGCAGATCTACAAAAGCGACAGTCAGTAGTAGCTGCAGCAGCACCAGCGGCAGCTATGCAAGTTCGGGTATCGGAGGTACAACCACAAAGAAAAAACAATGATAAATGCTTACGGCAGGAACGCAAGATCTAAGAATAGGAAAAGGGAGGGAAAAAAAAAGATACAGGAACCGATAAGCGAGGTTGAAATAAACAAACATTAAAATCTTGTTGCGTCGCCGCCGAATGGTCTAGTGGGATAAGATAGAGAAAAAAAAGCAACAGGCGTATGTCATGATGCGCTCGCTCGATTTTGCAAGACGAAAAGAATAAAAACAAAAGAAGCCCGCAGTCCAAGCCCTGTAAACTCCGGTTCGCATGCCGCTAAAATTCCAAGTCGTTGTTGCCTTTTTGATTGTGCATCACCTTGTTTCGTAGCTGCGTGCAATTGGAGACTTAGGTATTGGCTCCAATCGTCGCTGGTTGTGAGTTCACCTGCAGTGTAGGTGTGATAGGGTATGGTGGGTATGGGTCGGTTTGTTGTGGTGAGTCGATATGGTGGCCGTCATCTTGAGTCTGGGGCCGCGAGCCAGAATCAGGGCCAAGATGAGGATCTGGGATCTGTATGTCAAGCTACAAGCAGAGAGTTAGTTGAAGTTGACCTCGTTTAAGTTTTTTTTGCTTTTTTTGGGCGGGGTGCATGCATACTGTAAGGTAGCCGGTCCGCCTTAGTGGGATGATTTTGACGGCTTCTTTTGCACCAACATTGTGATTCCAGTCTTCTATCCACCTCTCGAGTTGAGCCAGTTTTTTCTTGACACCTGTGAAGCCAGCATCCTCCCATAGCCACAAGGTAGCAACACCCATGACAGTATCAAGACAAGCGCGGAGGGTAAATGGGTCAAAGGCCTCGGTAAGATCATCGTTGATCTTCTTGATCAGTATGCGAAAATCGTCCTCGGTGATGAGGGGATCCAGAATCTCGGGATACAAGTTGGCAAAGGTCGGGGCGAGGTCGCCTTTAAGCATCCAGTCACGCTTAATGCGGATGATGCGCGTCGTGTTGTACAGCTCCGAATCGAGTGGGACATGGGGGTTAGGATGAGGGAAGCAGGGGTGCGAGGGCCCCCAGGGAAACTCGGAGACTGCATCGCCGTCTTCATCTTCGTCGGCGGCAGAAGCTGATGGCCTGGAACCAATTGAGGAGCGTCGGGAACCGGGCAGCGAGGCGCGCGACAGGCCCGGTTGATGAGGACGTCCAGCCTCTACGTCCTTGTCGGCATGCTGGGCGGCGACAGGCTCTGGTGGCATTGCAGAGCTGGGCGACTGCAGGCTTCGAGGTGGAGGACGAGGCAGGCCGATGCTGGTGCGAGCGCTGGCGGAGATGCTGTTGTCACCGGAGCGTTCGACGGCGAGGGAGCTTGGCACGGGACTCTGACGGCTAAGACGCTGCTGGGGGAGCGTCAGAAGCGGGTACTCGTCGCGGACGTCGTCTGTGGCAGCCGGGGCGTCTGTTTGGATAGGCAGATTCGGGTAATGGTCGTCGGGCGGGGGTATTGGAGCTGGGGGCGGGTTGTGTGTTTGGAGGGCGCGCGGAGAAGAATTAACTGGGTTCCAGAGGCGGGCGGCAGGCAGGCGCGGGGGGCCCTGGTAGAAGGAGCGCAGGTTGATGTTGAAGATGCGGTTCGTGAGCGACCAGCGGGCAGGCACTGGCGACGCAGGAGGCGGCGGGTAAGCAACGGGGGGCGAGCGTGGAGTCGTCGTCGTGACTGCGGATGGCGTGGTGATGGCGGTGATGAGTAGCGGTTCCTTAGGGGCCCCAAGTCACTGTGGTCCATGCTCTCGCCTGCATGCGGCCTGCAGCGTGACGGACACCAGCGGGCAGCAGCGAATGAGAGGGAGAACAAGGAGGGGTGGGCGAATGTCGCAGACGAGACCAAGGGCAGCGGCGGGCGAATGGGACGAGTGAAAAGGCCGGGCGGCGGTGGAGATGTGCCAGCAAGGTGCGGGTCGAGGGGACGTCACGGGAACTGAGGGCGGCGGCGACGGCAGTGGATGGAGAAGATAGCGAGCGAGGGAGCAAGGAAGAGTGAGTGGAGGAACAAGGCAAGGGAGCCCGAGGGAGAAAAGGGCGTGTGGGAGGGTGTGGTAGTGTGTATGTACGCAGCTGTTTGGAGCCAGCAGGACGTCTCACAAAACCCGACGGTATAAACTTTGGCCCTGCATCCACACCAGGCCTCGGTCAGGGCAATAATAATACGAAGAGGGGAGAGCAGCGTGTAGCATGTGCAGCGAGTGCAGCGAGGGGGGGGGGGCGCCGCCTTGTCTTGTAAGTAGATGAAATACGACACCAACGTCAGGCGTGCGGATTCCCTAACCACCGCGCCCGCTCCTCCCGGCGACTCTTGTGCACCCCCCAGTCGGCGTGGCCATGTTCCCCGGCGCAAGACTGGATGGCATGTGGCTCGTGTGCATGCTGGAGGGCAGAGGGCAGGCCCTTCGCGCAGAGCAGAGGGAGCCTGTGTGCGAGCGCTGATGTGCGCACAGCCGTCAGCCCTCCAGCATGGACGGGCGTGGACGGGTAACCCCTGCAGCTTCGACGACTGTGCCTGCATTACGCCCGTCATTCACTCTTCCGCCCACGCGGCTCGATGCATCCATCCCCATCTCGATACTGCGTGTGCAAGCGGGCAATGCTTAGATCCGCACATATACGTCCATACTGACGTCCACATCTACCAGCCTCGGGACCCCACCGCATGCTTGCCTCCAAACAGTCACTTCTTACTTACCCTGCCACCTCGCTCCCTCGTTAGCACAAACACTATTGGCGTGCTCTGACCTGGCGATCCTGTGGGTGTCGACTGAGTTGGGTAGCGTAGTATAAATGTGTTGTGTGTGTGTGTATATGTGTGTGTATGTATGTATATGTGTGTGTGTGTGTGCCCAGCCCCATGCTCAGTCACATCACACCTCTCTGATACATGTCTACTCACGTACTTACATGTACCACTTACTATATCTGCACATTACTCACCCTCCTCCCGAGGCATCAACGCCTAACCACGCCCCACAATGCGCATTTATCGCTTTCATCATCAGCACCAGCACCAGCATCAGCATCAGCATCCTCTTCGGCATCACACTCAAAGCTTCTCCGCCCTCGCCTCGCCGATCCGCCTTGTTCACGGGTAAATCATCGGTGCCCCCACCCCTTTTTTTCGATTCCATCTCCCTACACATGCTTTGTCTCCCTACCCACACACGGCCACAACCACGCACCAAAAAAAAGCCCCGTCTTCACACTTGCACCACACGTCATCGGCGTCAGACGGCGTAGCTGGGTGTGCGCATGTGTAATGTGTGTGCATGTGCGTGTCAAGGGGAAGAAGGATTTGACAGGCTTTTTTCGCACCACCGTCACCGGGACGTGTGCCTAGCCATCCGCATCCGCATTCGACTCGCGGCACACGTGGCGGCGGCATAGCCCCGTCCATATTCCGCTTAAGCTTCACTTTATTCTATGCACCCATCGTCGCAGTACGGCGAGATATACTCTGACGCTGCGCTTGACCGCAGCCATCGCTTACTCTCTTCACCTGCCCTGGCTCTTTGCAGCATGCGTACAGACTCACGCCTATATATATATACACGCATGGCAGAGTCATGATCGCGCCTGCACCCACTGACTCTCTTCTTCACTAATGTAGCATCCATGTATTAATCGGTAGGTCTTGGTCTGGGCTCGTGTGTAGAGTTTGAGTATTACCAACAAAGTACTACTACTGCTACTGCTACTGCTATGACTACTTAACATGGCAGGAGCTACCCAAACAGAGCTCCATCCATACGCTTTTGCACTCATCGCTCCTTCTTCATCCATTCCATGTTCATGCACACTTTCCCACATGCCCAGTGGCTCACATAATTCTAAATACAACATAAATACAGTTAAAAACATGTCAGCGTCATCAACCTCAACACCTACGCATGGCGGTTGGCGCTCGCCTGCATCTTCCTCATCGCCTCGCGGTGTGCATCCAGCATGTGCCCACTGCGCATCATGCTGTCCATCTGGCTTGCTCGCTGCTGCTGCACCATCTCGCGTTGCTGCTTCTCCAGCTCCTTTTGCCGCCGCTCAAACAGCAACGCCGCCCGCTGCTGCTCGATAATGTACGTTGTCGACGTTTGTGCGGGTGCCGCATCGCGTATCGAGTCGCGCCATCCAGCATACAGTTGCTCACGCTTGGAATTCGACTGAGCGCTGTTTGTACGCTGTGGCTGGTGCGAGTCGAAGCCTGGTGGTGCCCCTTTACCCGCCCAGTCTTTGTTCTGCCACTTTTGCGACGCTGACGGTGGTGCCCGGCGAGGCGATGTCAGGGGTGCCTCAAACGGGAGCTGGGGTGTTGATGACTGGCGCAGCATTTGGCGACGCTGTGCCAACGTCATTTCTTCTCCTCCCACTTCTTCCTCACCCTCGCCCTCAACTTGATCCTCGCCACGACCCAAAAGCAAGTGCCCGCCTGAAGAATTTCGCTTCACCAGAGCAGACGCTCGGCTCTTGAGCAGGGTTTCTCTTTTGCTCATCAACGTATTGGTCGGTAGTGGGGCAAGAACATTCGGCCTAGATTTCGAGCTGGCCCGCGAAAGAACCGCTGCAGGTGGAGACCGCGTGTAGATCCGTGGATCGACAAGCGATTCCTGCGACAAAGCCAAACTGTTTCGGTCAAACCCGCTGCTGCTGTTGCGTTGCATCCGGCTGCCATTCGACACCCGCCTCGAGTTGCGCTGGTTTCCCTTAAGCGGTGCCGCTAGCTCCTCGCTGACGGGCGCTGGCTTCTCCTCGGTTCCATTTGGCAGCATCATTCCTGGCGACGAAGGTCTGAAAATGTCCTCGTAATCCGGCTTCTCCGCTGCTTCAAGGTGCTTGGCCCATTCGTTGGTCCGGTACGATAGAGCTACTTTTGACATGTTCTCTGGCAACGCACCCTCCCGCAGCACACTGACACGTCGCGTCTCTGGCTCGGTGTGCGAGCTGAGAGAAGGGGCATCGGACTGTGTACCCTTGGACTGCTGGTCCGCGCTGCTGGTCTTGGAACTAAACATGCCTGTATCTCTCCTCACTCCAGTGTTTGCCGCACCTGACTGCTTCGAGTCGGTGCTAGGAGTGAGAGATTGCCGTGCAACAGCCGAAGAATAGTTGTCATGCGCCTTTGTAATGCCCATCTTTGTCGTTTCGTTGCCAGTAGTTGACTCTTCGGTGGTAGGCATGTCACCACTGGCTTTTGTTACATGACCAGCGTCGACAAAGGGGCTATGTTCTGTCCCAATAGGTGATTGCACAGGAGAAAGCTCGCGTATGGACAGTTGGTCGTTGTCGTCGTCCAAAGTTGCAGCAACAGACGAAGCACGGTCGTCGTTCACATCCTGAGTTACAAACACCGCCTCTTGAGAAGCTGCCAGGTCGCGAGAGATGCGTTGCCTCATTGCCGAGACGTCAGACACGCGTTTGCTCACAGCTGGGCGCTCCGTCATGTCAGCTTCAGTTTCAGGCATAGCAGAGACAGACGAGTTGTCGTCGTTGCTGTGCGCATCTTCTTCTGTGGGTACCTTGAACGGGAGCGGGACGACAACAGGTGGTGGGGATACTGTTTCCGAAGTTCGGCCTTCCTTTTCGACCATTTGAGGTTGTGATGTTTCCTCTGGAGTACCTGGCAATGTCTTCTCGCCATCAACTCCAGGAGTCGCAACTTCACGGGTCTCGACTACCGGGTTACCTTTGGCATCAATTGCTTGGATTTCGTCATCGTTGAGAACGCCGACAGTGACTGTTCCTCCTAGTGCCTTGTTCATTCTAGTAGCTGGAATAAGATTTTCGCTGCTATCGATTTCCTTGGCATCTAAGCTGGTCGACTTTGTGGGACTGGTGACGGATGATCTGGGGCTAGAACCAGGCAAATTCTTTTCGCCGTAAGCCGCCTCCCATTGAGCGCGTTCCTTTTGGAACGCATCCTCAATCGTACGGCCTCGTTCTTCTTCTTCACGAGCCAGGTCCTGCTGCCTCTCGAGTTGCTGCGCAGCGTCCTTTGCACGATGCTCTTGAATCATTTTCCAGACCCGTAGTTGAGAAATGATTCCAGCCACAGCTATGATGATGACGCCGGCTAGCTCAGCCTTCATGTTCTTAGTCACGGGATACGTGTTGGTGTCCAAAGGAAATGTGGAGTCGTTGAGAGCTGCACATGTTAGCAACGCTTACAAGGCATCGCGCTTGCACATACCCCAGAGATAGAGCCAAAACTCTTTCCATCCAGCGCCTGCCAAACAGTCTATTCCAAGAACCGCTGCGGTTGCGCCTGAGAATGCGATTGATGCAATGAGGCCGTAATTGCGGGTGTAACGGCTGAAGGATAGTGACCAGCCAGCAGCCGCCATGCAGCCGATGAAGATGGCCCGACCTGTGCTCGAGCTGATCAAGCCACCATCCTTGAGACTGAGGAACCACATGCTAAGGCAGAAACCGCCGAGCAGGCAGCCAAAGCCCTCAGTCATATCCACAAAAACTAGTGAGAGTACGCCGAAGATGATGCCTGTGAAGAAGGCCGCCACAAAGAAGGCACCCTGGATGGCATCCGAGACAGGTGGGTTCATCAAATAAATTATAAGAACCGTGACGGCGAGTGCAGACAGGTAAGCTGCAGATCCGAAGACATATACCCTGAGATCTGTTAGTTTGACTCTGTTGGTCACTGCTTTGAACTTACATCTTCTTCTTGATTCCGATGATACCATATACTAAACCAGATACTAGTAAAATCACACCGGTGATTCCCATTGCTGGGGTGAGCTTGGGGTAAATGGGTAGCGGGCTCTCCTTGTTAGCTACAACCGATTGTTAGTCTCGATACTTTGACTTGTGCACCAATTGGACTCACCAGCAGGACTAGAAGGCACAGGCTCATCAGAAGAAGCCGTCGAGGGAACCTCGGTTGGGGTGGTTGCTGAAGCTGAAGGCTTCGCAGAAGAAGGTATAGTAGATGACACGCCATTGGACTCGATCCGTGAAGATGCTCTTGCAGAAGGCGTGGGCTCAGGTGTCGATGTGATTGATACTTGCCGAGAAGCGCTGTCTCGTGTTGTAGAAGGGGTCGAGTCTTCTGAAGAATTGTCATCTTGCCGGCGCACGGCAGCATGAGGCGCTGCAGCTGTCGATTGGAGACAGACTAGCAGTGCAAGACATATTAAAAGAAAGCGGTAAGAAAAGCGCATGATGGCGGTACACAGAGATGACGTGCCCTAGCAGCAGCGGACAACTGCCATAGAAAGATTACAATTACCTTGCCTGAAGAAGGCAATGAATGACTTCCGCGAGAATACTCAAACGGGAAAAGGCGCGGCCTTGGATATGTCTGTCGACAATGGCGGCGCGCGCACTGATGGGCAAGGAATGAATGCTATGGTCGGTATAAAGTGTTTCAAAGAGCGGATACTAATTACTATAGTAGTGCAGGTGAGTGGCTGAAAAAAAGAGTGTGGTTGGCATACAAGCCTATGAAGGAGGGGCGCGCAAGACCTGCAGAAGGAAATGCAGTAGGAAGTGCAGTAAACTGGCAATCGGTGCTGCACGGTGCATACCGGACGATAAAAGCTATGGCTCGGAATGAGATCCTCTGATGGGATCGACGCTCCCTCCATAAGTTCCAGGAAGCGAGGGGCTTAGCTGGCGCGGCCGCATGAATGCAATATGAATGATGCTGAGCTACCTGGCTGGCGGCGTCGGGATGGCGTGGATCGTCTCAACGACCCATACTGCAAGTGGAGTGGTTTGGTCCTCGAAATTCTTCATTTTATTATTGGTACGCCAGCCACCAGTCATTCTAACGGGCTCAGGAATTCAGCCACGCCTCTGCTAGGCACAGAAAAAGAAAATAGCGTTTCATCCGGTTTTCCTGATGCGGCAGCGGTTAGTCCCAGACAGTAGGCTCATTACCCTCCGTCGAGATGCAAACAGAGGGTACCATGTCAGACTTGTTTTTCACAAGGGTGTCGAGACCCAGCATGTCCTCTGACGCCTCAGAAGCTGACCACAAGGAGTGCTTCGCGAGGCGAGGAGGAGTGCTTATTCCTAGGGCTGCTCTTCCGCCATACTGGAGCATTAAGGTTGCGCTACGCGGCCTGCATAAGCCTGCGGCTCGTTGCATGAAGCATATCCACCAAAGGAGGATGGGGGGGGTCCCCTCCTCACATAAAACGACGACGTGCAACCTCCGTAGTGCCACCGCAAAAGCTTCATAGCCTCAGCATACAGTCAGCGTCTGTTATGTGTGAAGCATCTTCCTCGCCGCGCCATCAAATTGCTCGCGTCGCCCGAAAGTAGATAATGTGATCAGAACTTCGGGCCGGGCCAATCCCATTAGCCAAAGACGCCAATACTTGATCTACCATGAGCCGTGCGAGCCGCCGAAGATCCAGTTCTGCCTTTGGCATACCACACGTGGCCGTGCGCGCGCATGTTTGACGTAGCGAATCCAGCTGTCGCCTGTCAGCCTGCTTGTCACGGGTTTCGCCAACTGCACTGACAGCTCTTTTGACAATTCTGACCTCCGCCATCCCGATGCCTGCCCAGCTCAGCCCACCACCAGCGCCCTTACTCACCTACCATGGCTGATCCTCCATTCCCATCGATCATCACTGTCAACATCGCTCCCGAGTACGACGTTGATCTTGCATCTGATCTTGCATCTTACTGTGTAGACAATGTCATCCGGCGCAGGTGCCCTCACCCCGAAACCCTGGTGGGCCTTTTAAGATTGCCAATACAGGCAAAAGCCTTGCAGGCCTGAGGCGCACTCACGACATGACGTTACATGATGACACCACATCACCACCTTCAATCATACATTGCCATGAGGATATGTGAAGAGGGGGGTTTTTTTTTGCTGGATCACGCCAGTGGCCTTGAGACAGCTCTGCGCTATCTTCTCCGTACATTTTTTCTGTTGGCCGTTTTCATATCGATTTGCGGTTCACGCTATTTCCACTACCGTTTCCCCGCGTGCTCCAATACGTCCTCGGTACCAGTCTACTACCCATCACTCGTCCACTAAGCAGCAGCTATCTACGGCTCCAAAACCTGCAGCCACCCCGCCCTCCTCGCTCTGGTCGCCTTTTGTGCGGAGAAGATAACCGGCTTCAAAGTTCTCTAGTATCTCGCCCTTGTTGTCAGCTCCATTGCCATCTCTCCAAAGACACGCGCCGTAAACGCCCAGCTCGCAAATAACACCGCCCCTCTGTAGCTCTCCGTTTCGCAAAATGGCATTTTCCAGCGGAGGCGGCTCGATCATTTCCATCAAAATATACGCTGGCCAATGGCTCTCGGGGAGCTTTGCCAAGAACGGCGGGATGGCTTTCCGGTAAACGTTATTCCCGCCTCCCTCCCGTTGAGGCTTCAACACGTACTTGACGGCTGTCGACGTGTCTGTAGCAAGTTTTCGTGCTTCATGACCAGCCTCGCTATTGTCTAGTGGGTAGATGGGCGCAAATGTCTCTAGCACTCGCGCAGCAACCTGGTCATCGGAGAGGAAGCGCTTAAGATGTTGAGAGTGTGGCGTTGCGAGGACCTGCTGCACTTTTTTGCATCCAGCAAGGTGGGTTAAGATGCTGGGACATTTGATTGCTCGGCTCTTCTCAAGATGGAGGCGCGCTACCCAGTCCTCATCTTTTGGGTAATCATCTGGTGAATACCCTGCTCGGAAGTAGACAGTCGTTGCTTCGTACGGTGTCGCTGGCGAATTTGGTGGCGTATAGACTAATGTGCGATCCGAGTCAAGCTTCGTATGAGTCAAGGTCTGGCCAAACGGCAAGCGAAATGAGCGGACGCCGTTTTCTTCAAGCAAAGCATATTCGAGATGCCTCTGATCAAAGACGTTCCTTTCAGGGTCCTGAACAACGAACAGAACGCAGAGAGGTCGGCCAGTGCGCGATGATCCATATGCCTTGTGCGCCGCAGCGAGACCTTTTGCTAGTGAAGAGGCAGATTTGCTCAGTTGTAGCGCCTCCTTTTTGATGGTTGAGAGTGCCGATTTAGGGTAAGCATCAACAGTGAGTAGATATTTGTGCAACGCCGAAACCTGGCTAGAGAGACCACCAAATGACGATGCAATGGTGTTGAACTCTACCTGCTTCAGTCCAGGTGGAGACTTAGATTGGGACAGATCTTGGTGTACCATGTAATCTGAGCGGAAAAGTCCCAACGAGAGATCTTGTACGTAGCCTTGCTTTTTGACCTCGAGATGGGTATGCCATAGCTTTGCAACAAAGTCGTCTACATCCAAAAGCTGCTCCACAATACTCTTCAACCATGATTCGTCCCTTGCGATTGCCGAGTATAACTCGTTGTACGCCTTCTGTATGGCGAGTCCCTGCTCGAAACAAGAGCGTGGGAAAAGACTGGGGAACAAGGTGACGGGAGCTGTGCTTGCCAATACACCTGACGGGTCCTGCGAGTGATTGACGAACGAGGGCGCGGGACGCACCGCTAGGCCATGCGCTATGGACCAGTCCTTGAGAGTTTCCAGCAGGTACTGCTCCTCCTCCTGAGATAACTTTGGCGGGTACTCTGCACTCGCTATAGAGGCCATGGCTGCTGGTACGATTGGATTGTTGTGAAGAGGTTGGATGGGTTGCTGGAGAAAGTACCTCTTGAGAAACTTACAAATGCAGTCGGCGCTAAAGCGATGGTCTCATCTGCCCCGCTACTGTACGGTCGCGAACCGACTCACTTGCTTACATCACTCGACCGGGGAGCGACCTCTTGTCTTGCAATATTTATGTGTGAACACTGGGCGTCTAATGCTCTTGCCCTTGGGTACCCCTCCTGTGTTCTCACTGCGCCGCTTGTAATGTATGCGCCTACCCCTCCTCGCGCTGTCACATGACCGCGTGTGCCCGGGTACATGGCGAGCAAACGGCGCAATTCACAGCATTGGGCACACGCCACGCTAATACCTACCCTCTCGTCTTTTACCTTGATCTCAACAACACCTTGACGCCCATACGTGTTCTCAAGCAACCAACATGTTCGACGATGATGACGATGATGATCCCTGGCTATGGAATACAGACAGGCTAGTCGCCAACCTATGTCACTCGCCCATGATATTTTTCATGGCATCGCAACCTGCCGAGAACATTCCGGATAGCTCAGCTCTTGAAACAGAACTACGAGCGCAAAAAATAACAGGAAGAATGCTACTTACTTCATTTGGGCTGGAAGAAGTAGTAATGCAGAATAAACTCAACATACCTTCTATGAGCCACCGGTTTGCTCTATACTGGGCAACAGAACTCCTCCGAGGAGAATCAGATGGCTACAATAACCAGCAACTGGCCAATTTGCTCAATAAAAAAGCCCAAAATCCTCCTTCAATTGCACCAACCACTCGAAGCCCACATATAGCGTCCAATCAACGGGGGACTGAACAAAAACGAAGCAGAGTTGAGATCGTCCCAGTCGAACCAGTGCGCCAAGCGCTGCAGACGCAGACGCATCATACGTCGAACGAGTTTGACCATCTTCTACGATGGCAAAACGCAGATGAAGATGACAAGGTGATCGATTTTGCTGCCGAAGACAGCCAAGAGGACGCTGATTCCATCACTGCAGATGGAGAAGATGAAGGTTTAGACGATCCACTCGAACCTGACGAGGTACAAGCACCATCTAGTCGAACCAAGCTCCCTGCTGAGCAAATCGTCAATATCATCAATGAGTGCATCGATGCCTACAGCAAATCCTGGAAACCAAATGCAGGCGTCCCCTGCGGCGAGGAAGTCGACTACGATGTCGACGCCATGTGGGACGAGGCAGAAGCCTCGGGACAGAGGAAGAATCTTGTGCAAAAGTACGAGGAAGAGCATGCATACTTTAGTCACAGACTCGACAAGCTGTGTGACGAGATTGTTAAGGCGGCTGGAAGCAATCCCGTAAGTGAATGTTGTTGCGACATAAGTGAAGGTTGACTGACATTAAAATACCTTCTAGAATGACGTACGCACGCAATGTCGCAATATTGAGACTACGATCCAGGCAATGGAGCTGGCCAGTTGGCTAAGGGATATATACGAACTGGAGCCTGTCGATAGCGATGACGAGCCTGCAAGCCCAGCCGACGATGCTAGTATGGCATCATTACCAAGACCCTCTGCTGTCGCAACCACTGCGATTATTAATCTGGATACATCGCCCGAACCTTCAGAAACAGGAGGGGCGGTAGCGACCGTGAAAAAGCCTGGTCAAAATGAGCTTGACCGTTCTAGGAATTTATTGACCCACCAGAGGCGGACATTAACACCGGACTTCATCCTTCGTGATATTGCTGGGAATTCCTCGAGCCGCCAGAGGCAGTCGTTATCACCCGAATTGGCCATTACCCAGAGTATAGAGCCAATAGTCAACGAGTACCGTCGTCCTCTTCATCCCAATGACCCTCGTTATCCCAGTCACCCTCGACACACACCTATTCTCCGAAGATATGGAGACGACCCTGAAAACGCTTCTATCAATTCGGTACGCCGCTGGAGATGGGAAGACTTAATTGAGCACCTTGATCGCAAACGTATCGTTTCCAAAACCGTCTTTGAAATGGATGGTAGCGATCGCGAGTCGGTTCGCATCCGTGTTCAGCTTATTGACACGATACACCTATCAAGAGAAATTGTAGCATGCGTCGACATGTTGTGGAGAGGAGAATCAAAACTGCAGGGCGTACTCCCTCGAGATGTGGCTAAGATTACCCGCTTTACCAACCTATTTCTGTCGTGGTGGTTCTGTAGGAACTACTTTGATGAACCAAACGCATCTACGGCAGAACTAGAAGAGCTCCAGTCTTGTTTGGCAGACGGATCTGCCGGAGTATCTACCTTCTGTGACTACCTTTATAAAATTATGGAAACGACCTTTAGCGAACAAGCTCTACAGCACCCTGACCAACCGTCACAGGCAGAGATAATTGAGATATCGGACGACGACTGAGGACATACAGTAGACCTACTAGCATGCTGTCTAGTGTCTTTTCATGTCCGGTGTGGTATGTCATCGTAAAGCGTCTAGGCCTCGGCAGGCATATAAAATGCCGATGCAGTGAATATCACACTACGCGCGGCGCCTCTCGGCAGTGTTACTAGCTGCTAGGCGCCTCGCACTTCACACACGCTTAATTCAGCAGGGCTCATGGGTACCTGCAAGCTGATAGGTAGTACTTACATAGTATGTATGTAGAATGCGACCAAAGTTTGCTGCTCACGTAAGAATGGGATCCATATCTCTGCAAACTTGAGATAGTGTCGGGGTCCGAGATGTGGGGACACTAATCACGTGGTCTTTACCATATAGATGTTCACCGAGGTAAAGGGCCCCACGTTTACTCAGATGAGCTCGTCTGGAACTTTTTACGTGGAGCCGCTGGCGAAAGAATCTGACAAGATACGGGCGGGGGCTCCGGCAACGGAAGCCATGGACCAGGCCCGGGACCCCTTATGCGTACATTCTCACAGGATAACAAGGCCGATAATATAAACCGCATCCTCATAGTGACGCTTATTAACCCCGGGCCCGGAATTCCAACACGACAGGCCAATCATGGTTGGTTTAATTGAGGTGGATGACCGGCATGCCCTGGCTCCGCGCTATTACCGCATGTAACTCAACTTTCGGGATTGACACATTTTCAGAACAAGTCCTCCCGCTCTTTCCCACTCTTCCCTCCAACCCTGACTTCCGCACAAAAATACATATATACAAACCCTCATCGCATACTCTCACAGATTCACGCCCCGCGCAACCAACCACCATGGAGGCTCTTTTGCGCCAGTCAAAGTCCATGTGTCCATTCCTTCACAAGACGTCACCCGCCACGCTGCGCTCCCTCTCTACCACCACGGCCGCCGCTGCTCGCCATGAAGTGTCGCCTGGCGCTGGCAGCATGTCGAATCTCCAGGTGCTCGCTCGCCGCTGCCCCATCATGGGTAAGGCGCTTGCTGTGCAGACTGCCCGCAATGGCAACAATGCACTAGCCGGCGCTTTCGGCGGTGTGCGTGCTTATCACTCGCGCGTGAACCGGGCAAGACTCCATACGACGGCGTCCAAGGAGGCTCAGGCTATCGACATTGAGAATCTGAGAGGTCAGAAGGGTATGCATGTTTGCGAGAGCGAATGCATGACATCAATAAGCTAATGCAGCACAGGCCTGGCACCGTTCCCCCACGCACCCCTCAAACCCGTTGTTAGCAAGCCTTCCAACTTTGCCGCCCCCGTTGCTTCCAAGGGCTCCAATTTCGACTACGAAGGCTTCTACCAAAATGAGCTTGAGAAGAAGCACAAGGACAAGTCGTACCGATACTTCAACAACATCAATCGTCTGGCCAAGGAATTTCCCCGTGCGCACAAGGAATCGGCCGAGGAAAAGGTAACGGTATGGTGCTCCAACGACTACCTGGGCATGGGCCGCAACCCACAAGTGCTCAAGACCATGCATGAGACGCTGGATACGTATGGAGCAGGTGCTGGAGGTACTAGGAACATCTCTGGCCACAACAAGCACGCTGTGGCGCTGGAGAACACAATCGCAAAGCTGCACTCCAAGGAGGCTGCGCTTGTCTTTTCTTCATGCTATGTAGCTAACGATGCGACGTTGGCAACTTTGGGCAGTAAATTGCCCAATTGCGTCATTCTCTCGGACAGCCTGAACCACGCTTCCATGATTCAGGGTATTCGCCACTCTGGCGCAAAGAAGATGGTGTTTAAGCACAACGATGTCGCAGATCTTGAAGCAAAGCTGCAGTCAATTCCTGCAGAGTATCCCAAGATCATTGCATTTGAGAGTGTGTATAGCATGTGCGGATCCATTGGTCCTATTGAGGAAATCTGCGATCTCGCTGAAAAGTATGGCGCAATCACCTTTTTGGATGAAGTCCATGCTGTAGGCATGTACGGGCCACACGGCGCTGGCGTTGCGGAGCATCTCGACTACGAGGCGCATAAGGCTGGCCGACCCCAAGGCACGATTCAGGATCGCGTGGACATTATCACTGGCACGCTCGGAAAGGCATATGGCACTGTTGGCGGCTATATTGCAGGTTCTTCCAAGCTGGTTGACACGATTAGGTCGCTCGCTCCAGGCTTCATCTTCACTACCTCGCTGCCACCCGCGACCATGGCCGGTGCTCAGACTGCTATTGAGTACCAGGCAAACTACCAGGGTGACAGGCGCCTGCAGCAACTGCACACTCGGGCAGTTAAGGATGCATTGAACGCGAGGGACATTCCTGTCATCCCGAACCCTAGCCACATTGTGCCTGTACTTGTTGGCAACGCCGAAATTGCCAGAAAGGCATCGGATATGCTTCTCGAGGACTGGGGCATCTATGTGCAGGCGATCAACTACCCCACCGTTCCAGTCGGCCAGGAGCGCCTTCGCATTACGCCCACGCCTGGCCATGTCCGTGAGTACCGGGAGCACCTGGTTGAGGCTGTTGATGCCGTATGGACACAGCTTGGAATCAAGCGCACCAGCGAGTGGGCTGCTGAGGGTGGTTTCATTGGCGTAGGCGAGGCTGGCAAGCCTGAGGAAGCTCCTCTCTGGACAGACGAGCAGCTTGGCCTCGTTGATGTCATCCGCGAGATGAAGGCCGGCCAGGGCGCGACTGGTGTGCTCGAAGCTGTACTTGAGCACGAGCGCAAGGCTACGGCCCAGGCTGTTGCAGCCGCAGCGTAGATGTGCAGATGCGCAAGTATCTTAGTGTATATGGTGACGACGGTCTGGTCGCTCTTTTGTATAGTTTGAGACCTGGATAGCTCAAGATGATGGCTTAAAAGCGCAGCGCAATACAATTTTTAATTGTCTGCTTATATATTGTTCATAGTATGCATGTGTGTTATTGTGTGCGTATGTGTGCATGTGGCGGTGTGAATGGTAGTGGTGAAGATGAATTGCGGTGATACAATAGGCAACGGCGCAGACAATGAGTCGAGGTGAATGAATGCACGGTCAGACGCTAGCGGAGCTCGCGATGTCTTGAGCCTGTGGAAGTTCCAGACACGCTTTCATCATCAACCCGCGCCCGCCGCAACGCGACTCTCGCCCTCCTGCTCTGGTCCTGCCTACCAGCCTGGATCTGTGCTTCTTCTCCAGTCTCTGTATTGCTCATTGACTGCACGGAACGCGCGCGCGCGCAAACGCCAACTACGCATTGTCGAGCTAGCACTCTCACGAGCAACCGCCGCATGCTCGCCTCATATTTTATCAACCCCCAGTTCGCGCCGGTCTCTCGATCCTGAGAGGGTACCACCATGGCTCCTCCGCCAAAGCGAAAGCGACCTGACCGCACTTACTCACAGGATGACGACCGTACCGGTCGCCCGTCGCCGCATCGCCCGCAGAACATGGGACTCGCGCATAACCAGCAGCAAACCAACAGCCCACGCGGCGGAGGCGGAGCTGGTAGACGGCCTAGTAGAAACAATGGCCGCGGCGGCTCCAGCGTGCCTCAGAGTCCCAACGTCTCGCATGCATCACCGCCTGCCATGTCGCCCACCAGCAATACTTCCTTCACGTCAGCCAGGCCGCCTCAGCCGACACCGTCCACTCCTGTGCGCCCTGCTGCCCCGGCGCAGCCCTCGAGACCCACGACACCGCGCCAGGTGCCTGAAAGTAATGAGTACCTGACACCAGAACGGGTCGCTCATTGGAATGGCGAGGCACGCGACGCCGTGGTACAGGCTGCTTTGTCGGCCCAGCGCGAGGGCAATGTACTCACCCTGTCAGTCATATTCCACGAAATCATCGAGGCGTCCATAAGCCATGTCCTGGATGCTGGCGAGTTGGGTTCTATGGTGCGGGACATTGTATCAGTATCGACCGACGACGACGACATTGACTCAACATCGACTTTCCTCGATACCTTGAGTTCGCTCACGCACGATGAGAGCAAGCAGGCGTCTGTAAGGCAGATGCTTGTTGCTACCAACATCGACGTTTCACGCATGCGCTCCGAGCTCGAGAACGACCTCTTGAAGTCGCTGGGTCTGGTCCGCGATAGTTTTGGCAAGATGGCTGTTCGCAAAGCCACCCACGCACTGTATCGACAATCTAACTACAACCTCCTGCGCGAAGAGACCGAGGGTTACTCGAAGCTGATGACCGAATACTTCACCACTGTGAACAGCGAACCACCAAACCAGGAGGTCGTGAGCGAGACCTACCAACGGGTAAACGCCCTCATTGGCGCCTTCGACTTGGATATTGGACGAGTCCTCGATGTGACACTGGATGTTTTTGCCAACCTTCTAGTCAAGCACGGCAGATTCTTCGTCAAGCTATTACGGACGAGCGCATGGTGGCCCGAGCTACGTGGTTTTGATAATATCGAATGGGAGGAACCCGAAGTCCCCACACTTCCGCGCTGGGCTGAGCCGAGCTCCAAGCTCTGGTATTACTCAGACGAAGAGAAGGAGAAGCAGCTGCGACTACGCGAATCCCGAGACCGAAAGTTTTGGCAACGTGTGGGCGAGCTGGGTGATCGGGCAGGCGTTCAGGCATTCTTTGAGCTTGGTGCACGCCGTGTGATTTCGAACAACCGACAGCCGGATCAAACCCTACCCGCCGAAGGTGCATCGCTCTCCAAGCAGCAAGCAGCTCGAAAGTGGGCAGACGAATGGATGGCGCAAACCAAGACTCTCCCTCCCTCTGGAAACGACATTGCAGCACAGCTTCTTGGCTTCAAGCTTCGTTTCTATGCGTCTGACGTCCGCGATGCTTCAGATGTCCTCCCCGAGAACCTCATGTACCTGATTGCGCTCTTGATCAAGATTGGGTTCATTTCCATTCTCGACCTATACCCACATCTATACCCATTGGAAGAGGATATGGCTGCGCACAAAGAGAAGCTACTGAAGGCTAAGAAAGAAAAGGAGGAAAAGGAACGCGGTGCGGTTTCTAATGCGTTGACGATGGCTGGCGCATTACCTGACGATAC